TGTTGCTGAAAGTCCTTTTGGTCCCCTCCCTGAACCGCCGTTGTTTGTGTTTCCCTGTTAAAGTACCTCCAGGGAAGCCAAGTGCATTGCGAGCCGAAACTCATCGTACTCGAGACTTGTCGGTTGTACTCGAGACTCATCAGTTGTACTCGAAAGATTAGCACTCTCCATCTGGAGTTCAAGTGTGTACACCCCATTCGTGGGGAATCCTCGGGTGTACCCATTGTGTGACCCCGATTCGGCTCTGTCGGAAAATTTGACCTCAACGTGCGTATCATAGAACAGCGGAATTTCACATTTAACCAGGAACGAGGTTTCACTAAAGGGAAGACAGCTGTCAGATCATAGCGACGTCTCACCATAGCTGCTGAAGGCTGCTGACTTGAATCGCATTGGCTTGCATTTTGTTGGATTCGTTGCTCTTACCATAGCTGCTGATGGCTGCTGACTTGAACTTGCATTGACCTGCATTTTGTCGGATTCGTTTCTATCACCGTTGCTGCTGATGGCCGCTGACTTGAACTTGCATTGACTTGCTACTGATCGCCGCTGACTTGAACTTGCATTGACTTGCATTTTGTCGGATTCGTTTCTCTCAAGGTGGAAGTGTGCAAATTCCGATTTAGTTGCGTCACCATGTCTCGACGTGATGATCGTGACAGATCCAGGACTCGACGCAGACGTGATCGGAGTCCTTCCCCTCAAGCTCGTAAAGCACACCGACGCGAACACAATGACAACCAGGTCTCGGAGAACATGGATTGGAACAACTTGGTTTCATGGCAACACAACTCCGGCTACAACGCTGCCAACAACTTTCCGATGGTGCCTACCAACTTTCAATCGACTCACAACCCCACACAGCAATTCCAATACCCGGCGATCAACTACATGATGCCGATCCCTCCTGAACCCACGCCATCCAAGTTCATGCCACCAATGATGCCACCACCGGTCACTACCTCCCAACACCTACACCTTCACCTGGACCTCCTACAGCTCTACCGGTTCGTCCTCAGAAAGCCTGGCTTACTCCCTCGCCTGACTGGACACCTGCAGACGGCATGTTTGATGTCAACCAACTCTACAACTTTAGCCTGCCCATGACTGTTGCCAACACTCCACATGGCAACCTTCGCGACATGTCAGGCATGGATATTAGGGACGTACGCCTGGTTCAGGTTATCCACGGGGGCCTCACCAACTGGCTACTCAGGCCGTTTGCACACGGCCGATTCGTGACGTGGGAAGGCTTTCGCACCCGCACTGAGGCCTTACTTTGGAGTACCTGCTCCAAATTACTACGAAGATCGCAGTCACTCAACCTGCTCACCCTGGAAAAGGACCTTGCCAACACGCTGGGTCTCAACATTGATGACTTCAATCAGCGCATCAAGGTCCACGACCATTTGGCCAACCTGGTACTTCAATTTCTTCAACAACATCACACCTCTCTCGCACCTGCTGCCCAGACCGATGACATGGTCAAGAAGTTCAATGACTTGAATCGTGCACATGAACTTCTACAGGCTCAGTATTCCGCATCACTTCGCGCATCGACCTCGCCCACGATGACAAATCAGAAAGATGATGCAGAGTTGGTTACACCGCCACCGGTCAACCACACACCATCCTCGTCACCTGCCAGCTCCCTGCCCACAGCCAGCGCGGCCGCCCTGGATGGCAAGTCGTTTGATAGCGTGGTGCAACCTCGGATCATGCAGTCTCTTCACGGAGTGTCGTCACCGCCGTCCAAACCGGCGGCGTCACAGTTGCTCACCATGCACAGCACGCCGGATGAAGTTGTCAAGTACTACACATGGACCAGTGACCAACCTCGCCTTTTCCTCAAGCAAGCACCCACAACAACCACTTTGGCGTCGCTGGTTAAGTGGGCCAATCACCCGTCCCGGCTCAACGGCAACAAGTCGTTAGATTCTATGGCGACGCAGCTTCTTCAGGCCAGGCAGCGCATGCCGAAGGGCGATGCGCCCACACTCGGTGCAATGGCAGCACTATGGGGTCTTGAACCCGGGTACCTTACCAAACTCACCGAGAAGGCATTGAGTCACCTCATCGTGACCGCTCGCCTGCTTTGTGGATGAGAAGGCATCATTTCGACCTTCGTTCTCATATGAGCCCGGAGCGGCAACAATGTCACGGATGAGTCCAGGTGAAAATTCGTCCGTCAAGTGTTTGCGTTGCACATGATTGATCTTGTACTTGCTTGTTCTTGCGTTGCCTCTTGTGTGATTGTCTGAGATGCTTGTATTTATGTCGCCGCCTTGTGGTAGATTTCGTTGGTTGCATCTCACCATGTTGGATGAACTTCGCCACTGCGGAATCTATGATGATGTTGCACAATGGCAGTCGCTCGACGACCTTCTGCACTCGTTGACTACATTCTCGACGTGCTGGCATTACTGTTTCCCTGGACTACCACCACCGTCGATTCCACTTGAGGAGTACGAATCCATCACACAATTGCCGTGGCTGGGTCTCATCCTCGAGGTCTTAGTTGTGGTCCGGATAGCCCTCCAGATTCCGAATTGCGCCATGTCCAACTCTCAGCACACCGTAGCCAACAGGTACGAACTTCACAGATGTCGGTGCGCTGCCTATTTATTGATCAGTTTCTTACAACGTCTCATTTCACAGGATCACGGCTACTTCCCGCCGTTCTTCGAAGTCCTTCACTTCTACAAGACTTCTCTCTTGTGTGAAATCATGCACTCAACTTTCGCTGACACGCGACATCTACGCTCATTGCGGGCGCGATTTCCTGACCTCTACGACTTCATACATGATCCAGGTCATCACCAACAACCGTGCGTCTACATTCGACTTTCCCCATGGCACACACCATACTATGTTGGGGCGACTGATCAGGATGTTCTACGTCGTGAACACTCACGCAGTCGCAAATTTCTACAACTACTTCGTGGACGGCATGCCTTCTTTGAACCGGCGCTTCACTACTGGAAACGATCCAATACTTACTGGCTCTTCTGTGCTGTACCAGTGGAAATCAAACTTCCAGTTTCCTCGGTGTGGGTTCAAGAAAGCAAATGGCAATACCTGCTACGCCCGCATTTGAATGCGCCCTGGGTACACAGAATCTTGCGCAAGGTTGGCTTCCGGGAACATCTTGTAGATTTTCGACGCCACTCGTTGTCGACGTCCACTTCCATCGGCTTGCACAAGCGCTTTCGACGACGACTACATCCGGATCTCCAACGGCAACTACGACCTGACACCCTGGATGACATTCAAGCCCACTACTCGATCCTCTATCAGCTGGGATCGAATACAGGAGCGTCGTTCCAAGTCATGCGTGACCTACTGTCAGCCGCTTTCCCTCCCACTCAGCTGTACTACTTATTGCGGCTCGCAGTATTTGTCAACGAACCCTTCCGCTCCAAGGCCCAGAAGCTACTCGCCCAGGTACTGCGCAAACGACGGCTGCAACCACCCTCCACTCTGACACAGCTACTTTTGCCGCCGCTGCATGTCCAAAATTGGAAAGCGCTACTTGGCACATGGTTACAAAACTGGATTGCTTCCCATCGGGATCTGTTCCCTTCTCTTTTCATTCCAAAGATCCGGGTTGTGGAAACCCGCAGCGCCACATTGGGCGACAAGATATACAACTATCGCACATG